GTGTATATATATATATATATATATTAATAATTCGTATATTCACCCCTAAACTAATGATAAACAGTTTAGTCAAATTAATGTGACTATCTGTTATGATCCAGAAGAATCGTCTCTTGTAGTGAGACGTGCATAAAATAAGTCACTGATATTCCAGAAAATTCTTATTGTGGCAACTCTAGTCTTGCTGCTTACTACACTGGGTTGAGCAGTAGAGGATCTTTGACTGAACATTCCGGTGGAATTGTTTCCACTCTCGTAACATTATTACTACGCTCGTACCTATGGATGGTCTACAGCAGTGTTTCCCAAACTTATGACTTTTGGGTACCTTTTCTAAATTTTTCGCAACGCTGCGTACCACTAATAAAAAATGAATGTATTTTTTACTATAAAAAATTGCACAAAAGTTAAAAATCACAACTGGCTGTTGACAGCACTAACTATTAATTGTTTACTCTGCAAAAGTAGCCAATAGAAAAATAATTAATCGTAAGTTTTCTTGACTAGCTTTGTTTTTAAGTAAAATTTTTTGAAATTTTCGTTTGTAGTAAGATATTTCGCATAAGAACGCGTACCCTCGCTAAACTGTTCCCTTACCCCTTGGGGTACGCGTACTACACTTTGGGAAACACTGGTCTACAGTGAACAGTTGACATGCTATTTGTGACTTGTGTCATTGTCCTCCCCACGCTGTTGCTACTCATTGTGTATCATTCACAACGGGATCCTGCACACATTCGACAGCTAAAAGTAAGCAGGTGCATCCACTCACACAACCGTGAACTTAACATGGCTAACGCTCAAAACCTGGTGATACAGCCCTCACCACCTGCTCTCAAAATTCGGTAAATTGTATACTACTCTCCCGGTGTTCCGCAAAAAGGCAATGAATCATCTAGTACTATCTGTTCATCGAGTTCTATCCCTGAGAAAATTCTGGTGGGGAAGTATTGTGACGTATCTACCACTACATTAGTTAAATTCCAATTCGTAAAAGAAGTTAACTCAATTCTATCTTGAGGTACGTTTTGATAGATGAAGATTGGCATTGTTGATAAGACACTCCAAACAATCATATGTGGAATTTATGCTAACACCAAAATGAATTAAAACTAATCTTCATCAAGTACAGAAAGGAGAGCTTCTATACATTTTGATAGGAAATACTCATAAGATAATGATTTCTTATGTCTTCCACAATTGTTATCGCATTTTGGGAAACCGATGAGAATATTCCTCGGGCCAAGATATTTCCTCTCTCAGATTGGTGTGACCCGTTAACTTTTATTGGAAATTTAGTTTCATTCCGTTTGGCTCATTGGAAGTATTTTTTTTCATACGTCCGATAGAGCATAAAACGTGACTCATTGAAAAAATCAACTATGTAGTTGATTATGTCAATCGATGTAGTAAGTTATGTCAATCGATTATGTAGACGACTATGTCAATCGATTATGTAATCGTGAAGTACTAGTGAGTACTCGTGCAGTACCTGTTAGCTAAACAGTACAGTCAATTAGTCTTCGATTTCATATATATTCGTCCAAATGATTCTCCTTATATGTCATTCGCTCTTGTCATCTGTGGGACGGGATTCCACGTCAATGAATTAGGATTGTGTCTTTTTGTATGACATTATATATCCTAACCATGATGACACCCAAATGACTTAGAAATTTGGCAGATTTGACGCTCTTGTCCTGGAAGCTAATGATGGAAGCTTCCTTTTGGAATTGCGAAAGGAATTGCAATGTTTTCAGTTTTCTTTGGACATTTCTTCTATATGTGTTCATTTATCTCATAAAGAACATGTGGTCTCAATTTCTGACATTCATCTTGCTAAAAACTGATCATTTAGCATTACTGTCAACTTTAGGCTAATTAACTTCTATTTGCCCCGGTATTTAGAAAATATTGAAGTGAAACCTCAATTGTTCCTAATAGATAAGAAGCAAATGGTCCTAATTAGAGACAGACTTTTTTCTTTGTAAAAACGTTATTTAGTCCCTATATATATAT